GTGTGAATATACCCATCCCCTCCTCCCTCCTTTAACTAGAATTTTGATAAACATTGGAAAGCAAGGTTATACTCTCTTCCTCGTATTTAGAGTGCATTTTTGATTGATGGATTTAATTTATATCTATCTTTATACTTGGTTTAAGTAAATATTGATTTAATTAAACCTATTGTTTCTAAAAGACTAAGACAACTCTGCCACCTTACTGACATGAGCCAAAAGACCTCATATTGGAAACTGATGGAAAATTTGGGACTATACCTCAGCACCTACTCCAGGGACCTCAATTTATTTGATGACTTCTGTAGGTAGTCTTTGAAATTGGCCCTCATTTCCTTCAAGCCAAAATCACATCTGAGTTTAGAAGGCCTAATAAATAGAGATTAAGTTTTAAGCAGAGCCTTTCTTTATCTTTCTTCACTCAGGATTCTTGCAACACAGAGGCAGAGTGTCCACACTTTTTGATAACAATTGTGCAAGTGCTGCAGCAAAGAACAGAAAGAAACTACGATGTGTTGCAGATCTCACAGAACTCCTTTAAAATAGAAATTATTATCCCATTGTAAATGAGTAAAATGAGGCATGCAATTAAAGGTAGTGGAAATATGAGTCAAACCTTGATTTATCTGTCAACAAATCTGTTTTCCACCACGCAACAGTGCCTACTTACTACCTGCAGTGGTTCAGGCACTGGGAAGAGAATACTTGGAAAGGGCCCAATCTCCTCGCACCTCTTCTATGTGACTGTCTAAAATAAATAACTACTCTATTGTTATGGGTTGAATTGGGTCCCTCCCCCCAAAAAAGGATATGCTGAATTCCTAACCCCCAGTACCTCAAAATGCGACTTTATTTGGAAATTGGATCATTATAGATATAATTCATTAAGGCTAAATCATACCAGAGCAGGGTGGGCCTCTAATCCAATATGACTGGTGTCTTTATAAAAAGAACACTACGTGAAGATGAAAGAAGGGATCAGGGTGATGCATCTACAAGCCAGGAGTACCAAAGATTGCCAGCAAACCACCCGAAGCTAGGAGAGAGGTATGCGACAGATTCTCCTTCACGGCTTTCAGAAGGAACTAAACCCTGTCGACACCTTTGATCTTAACATCTGGCCTCTAGGACTATGAGCTAATAAATTTATGTTTAAGCCAACCAGTTTGTGGTACTTTGCTACAGCAACCTTAGGAAAGTAATATATCTATTAACACAATTCCTGTTATGCAGGTCACAAGCTAGTAAGATCCTAAAGTTTATCAACTTAATTTTAAATACTAGTAAACACACTTAAGAATACAATTTTTCAAAAAGAGGCTGTTGTCTATTGTAGCAGCTGATTTGGAGCAGTCTTTCTGAAAGGAAAGACTTGATCCAAAACTTGTACGCTAAGCCAGAGAGAAACAGTGAGTGTGGTTACAGTATAAATGATGGTGGCTTCAGGGTCAGACACTTGTAGGTCCAAATCCCACCTGTGCCACTTGTCAGAACTGTCAGTTTAAACAAGGAGTATCAGTTCTCTGAGCCCTGGCTTCCTCATCTCTGAATGCACAGGTCTAGGAGGATAGGAGATGCTGGGCACAACGTACCTGGCACGACCCCTGACTCTGCTGTACCTGTATGATGGCTCTTACGTCTCTAGCCTGAAGACTGCAGCATTGACACAGGTGACCATGAGGCCTTCTAGAGCCTTCACCCTTCCAGGGAAATATCTTGCAGTGTTCCAAAACAGGATCTATTTCTATGATATTCTGGTTCTCATCAGTTCATTTTCTAGGAAGTCATTTTACAATGATGAGCAGTCTGGGTTATGTTGTAGATAATTTATCATTCATTCTAGATCCCATTACCTGAGTTACTCATTCTCTTAATCTAAGAAATTTTACATTAAAAGAAATGTGTTCCATTAATCCAGCAGTCAGAAATTCTCAACTACAGAGAACACAGAAGTCTAAGAAACAAATGTTCTCTGAGAACTAAGAAAATGTCTATCACAAAGCCAATGTATCCATGCATTCTCTCTGCAGAAGCATGAAGCCATACATGCAGGTTGAAAACTCTTGGAATTACGTGAAAATTAACATTACTGTTTTAATATTTAATATTTCTCTAGAAGTATTTTTCCTAGGTTCTAAAATTATTAGATAGGGGGATATGGTATAAGAGATTAACATACAAAGCAGAGGTTCTTGAATGAGGCCCCTGCACCAGCAGCATCAGCATTGCCTGAGATTTTGTTAGAAACACAAAATCTCAGCCCCGTGTCAGACAGACAGCAACTGAAACACAGCAAACTGTGTTTCAAAAAACCTTCCAAATTCTTTGCGTAGGCCAATGTCTAGAAGAGTATTTCCAACTTCTTCCTCTAGAATTCTAATAGTTTCACTCCTTAGGTTTAGATCTGTGACCCAGCGTGAGTTGATTTTTGTGAGAGGTGAGAGTTGTGGTTCCAGATTCAGTCTTCTACATGTGGCTATCCA